CTGCTTTGCTGCCCTCCTCAAGTGATGGTTTGTCTTTCCGATTGGGTATAAGATGTTCCACACTAGCAAACTAGAGCTATCTGACTAGGATGCTCTATAATTACATAGTCTTATTGATGATGATATTATCTGGTGAATTATCAAAGGCACTTCTCTCATTCAAATTCCTCCAGGGACTGGGGCTAGATAATTCTTTGAAAGCCAATTTTTTAATTGTTTTTCCTGTTAAAGTGCAAGTCCATTAGATCTGACACTAATTACTAGAAAGGTGCTGATATCACTTGGCCTATGTTCAGCTTGAGCTTTCAGATTCCAACAGCTGGGTAAGAACTGGGCATGCAGAACTTAATTAATTCTGAGTAGCTGTCTTTTGATCTGCCTGTGCACAACAAACAACCCTAGAAAACTCAGCTTACTCACTTAGCAGAACTCCTCACCTACCACAGCTCCATTGATTTTATCACATCTGTGACAACATACACCAGCTGATGGTCTGTACTGGTCTCACAGCACATATCCCACTCCACTGTGATTTGCTAAACCATCATTCAGAACAACATACAGGATATAATGGAGCTACAAAATCACAGAATCACAGACTGGTTGGGTTTGGGAAAGGACCTTAAGATCATCTAGTTCCAAACCCTGCCAGAGGCTCAGAATCCTGGGCTCAGACAGACATAATGGAAATCAACATATTTATAAGATCACAGAATGTTATTTTAACGTCCACTGTCATTAAGATTTCTCTCAGAGTCAATGTCCACTTCACTCAATAGATCATTCTGTCATCAGAAATGATAACAAGTACTCCTGTTTCTAAAACACAAACATACCTGTAAATGCCCTCCACGAGGATGATAATCTTTCTCCATGCTCGGTGGCTTCGAGGCTGCCCATATATTATTGCATCCCTCAGCAGCTTCTCAAGGCTTTGCATATCTTTATTTCAAAAGAAGAAAAAGGAAGAAGGAAAAACATTAACAAAGCTTTTTCTAAAGGACTTTTATTTTTGTCCTGAGCACTACTTTTTCTTATACACAAAAAGACAACATGAAAAAAACGTGTCCTGAGGATAAACTTCCTTTATTATTAGGTAAAAATCTAATGAATGACAAAGAGTTACAAAAAGCTTTCAGCTATGCAGCTTATCTGGGAAAGTTCTAGAAATTCTTGGCATACATTTTTATTTAAAGGCAAAAGGGAACCACTTTTCTTAAGTACTGAGGCTAATTGCCAGCAGTTCTCTGTATGGGCTGCTGATACTCATAATGTCTCAAGGCTTCTGAATAGTGAGTTTTTGGTTGCTTTCCAACATCACCACGGGCTCCTGAATAAACACGCATTGCTTCAGCAAGGTTTGAATCATGCCGTGTGAAGCACATCAGGATGGCAACAAGAGAAATCTTGTCCTTCTCAAGAAGGAAATTGAGTGAATTATTGCTGATGAGAGGAGGAGAGACAAGTGGGCAGAAGCACATGGTGTGGGTACACTAATTTGGTGCCGAAATGCTTGGCACTGGAGGGACTTCAATACAAGGAAGCCTAGAACAATGTTAGAAACTTAGCTGCTTTCTCAAGGACTGTGTGTGTATAATCTAATAAAATTCTTGAAGGAAATCCAGTGAAGGAAAGACATGGAAGAAGCAAGACAAAGCATCACAGGAACCTAACCAGCATTCTGGTGTCTCCACATGAATGAACACTCTCCAAAATGAGTTATTCTGGCACTTCTCAGGAGTTGGGATTGTCATTTCACAATGTTTTCAAAGAACATCTTACAGAGACTCGTGATACCCCAAGGAATGGCACAGGTCAGCTCAAATTATGAGAAAAATCAATAGCATTTTTTCAGTATACAACCCCACTCTTCCAGCAACACAATGCAGTTGTTATAATCTTCTAAAATACTACAACATTAATCTGTAAAATACAATTGTCCCAAGTGAAGAAAATAGACCTGAGATATATTAATGTTGACCTGTAATTTGCTTTCCACCTAACTGGCACCAGGCCATTTGCACAGTAACTGTCCATCCTGAATAATCTATGACCTGAGCCCTTCCATCCTGATACCTCACCTCTTGCTAGTACCATTTATTGGTTAGTGAAAGACCAGTTTCTCAGAAACACCTCTGCTATTCTGCTACTTACTGTGTAGTCTCTTGACCTAGGCAAGACCTTGCTTTAATTTAAAAAGCACAGAACATGTATGATAAGTTGCCCCTTGTTTCAACGGTGCCATCATCTGCACAGCTCAATGAGCACTGAGATGGAAATGCTGCTATGGATAATGCAATGCAGACAGCACAGTTTCCACTAGATGGCAATCGAGGAAATAAAAGTTCCCTGATGCTTTAAAATAGGAATTTATAACCCAGCTGAGCGTTTGCAGCATGTGCATATTTCATGGAAGAGACCTGCTCACCTTCTCTTTTGCTTTGAGTAGGTAATATTCATAAATCCTTTTGAGCTCTGAGCATTGAAGGACTCCTCAGGATGACAGAAAGCTCACTCAGTAACTCATTGGGCACCCCATTTTCTCCACTGAATTATTTCTCTACTGATGTCATTGTCATCTAAATCCTTCTGGAACCTTTGAAACCCTCCTCTGACTCACACAGGGTCTTTCGACTCAGTATTCGGTCTACATGTCAGTCCAGATTGGTTCTAGACTTCAGGAAAGTCAATTTGTCCAGCTCTCTAAGCTAAAAGCATGGCTTGAAGATATCCACATGCAAAAACACAGACACGGAAGAGGAGAGGGTAGGCAGAAGGGAAATGCATATAACTGTTTAAAAGAGCTGTTTAAAAAATGCATGGATGTGAATAGCTCCTCTGTACAAACTAGCGTGGGACGTGAGACCACAGATAGGGAAGAGCCTCCTCAAGGAATGCGCTTGCCTGACTTTGTACATGACAGAATGCTGCTGGAGTACAGGCTAAGGATATGTCTGTTCACAGGAACAGGGCTATCTCACTTTGGTTTTGGTGTCTTATTCTGTAAAATATGTATGTGTGACCCTTTCTCAGGCCTGTAACAGTCAACACATAATTTGTTTAGGTGCAGGTGAATTTTACTGACCTTTGTGCTTGTAGTGCTTCATTTGGAAAGGGGAAATTTGGATGAAGAGAAAATCTGTGACCTTTAATCTTTCCCCCAAAAGGCTGCTTCTGTTCTTCAAAGTGAAGATGTAGTGCTCTCTATGTGCTTGTGCTTAGACTTTTCAGAAAGTGGGATATACTAAATGCCAGGAAAAACAACAGTGCAACCCCAGGTGACTTTTGGATATCAAATGATTTTCCCATTAAATATAGCGAAACACTGGGTCATTGAGATGATGAATTGCATGAGTCCACCTTGCATAACCAGTTACGGGCATAATAACTGTCCTTCCTTGTTTGACCATCACCAGCTTAGGCTTTTCAGCGGTAATGGCTAACAACCGTTCACCACTCCAGAAGGTGGTGTTAAGAATTTCACTTGGTTAATTAGTCAAAGCACAACCAAATCTGTCCTTGCCTCACTTTCCACCTTCTCCCTATGGCATATTGTATAGACACGGAAGATAAAGTTCATTGCACGGGGACAGTGGCTCTCTCAGGTTTTTGGGAGTTGAATAGACTTGCATAATCCTTCTTTGGGATTCTTTGGAGTGACTTCAACAGAAATACCAACAACACAAAGTGCCAGTGGGTCGAATGAGGCTGGACCTGGGCAGGCAGCTGTGTGTCATGCTGCCTCCAGTGCAGGTGGGACTCCAGGCTGCTGGAGAGGCCCCTGCCCTCTCCCAGGCAAGCTCAGTGCCTACTCACAGGGAGACACGGTGCCTCCACCCCTCATCCTTGCATTGTAATGCTGGGGATGTCATCACCATTCCTCTGTGTGGGATGGAAATCGCCTGCATGATGTCAGCTGAATCCTTTTTAATTAAACAGGCTACTACTGCCCTTATCACATTCCTGTTTCCTTAGCCTTGCATTTGCCACTCTCATTTTCAGTTTCTCCCATTTTGCACTTTCATGCAAGTTCATGCAGGTCCCATGGCTTCCTGTCCCTACTCAGCCTCCCTTGCCACCACCTCTGCCCTGCTGCAGTGCACTGCTACAGCATCTGCCGCCTCCTCCTCTCCTACTGTCCACCTTTAGATACCTTTCCTGGTCACTGTCCTTTCATGGTGTCCCATGTGCTGTCCCTCCTGGCACATCCCTAAAGCAACAAAGGGAAAACACTGTATGGGTTTTGTTGATCTAAACAGTAACTGTGGGACTGTAGAATGTGGTTTTCATTCCAGTGAAAACTAGTCTTTGAAAAGTCCCTGACTGCTGGCACAGCTCTGAGCAGCAAAAGCTTCTTTAGAGTCATTTCCCTGAAATCCCATCTTTGAATACCTTTCTTTGGAATGGGGTGGTGGGAGTGGTGATTACTGCAGCCTCAGTAACAGTCTGAGACTTCCCTCCCTGCCCCTCAGTAAATAGATATCTCTGTAAAAGCAAAGGGCACTCACCCGGGAAAGCTTCCTGTTCGCACTTGGCAAGTCGGACATGGCTTTCTCAAATCAGAGAGGGCAAATGCAGACACAGCATGCTAGGAGCAGGATATACCAGTCTCCTCTCTGTGGCAGCGTCTGTATGTGTCACAGGGAAATACACGCCAAACTGGATTAGGCTGCGGTCCACCTATCTGGTGCAATAATCTTGCCTGATAGTGGCCAGAGGCTTCAAGGAGGACAAAAACTTAGTGGGTAGTGTGACTTTCATCCTGCTCTGTAACAGCAATAAAACTGCTCTCCCTTCTTGAATTCAAGGGCCACTTACATCTTTCAAAAGGAAAAATACAAAAATTAAGGAATCATCTTGCACTAATCTCCTACAAACCCTGGTTTTTACAACTAAAGAGGTTTTCCACTGACTTCAGCCTATTCACTTATCTCTTTTGTTCCCTCCCTGATTTGTTTTCTTGTTAAAGGCATGCAGTTACAGCTTTCCACTTCTTCTTTTGTCTTCTTCAGTTCTTTTTTGTGCTAGAGAACATATTTGCACTGAAAAGTGAGGACCTGCTGCTGCCTAAAAGTTCTTTCGGTGCTAACTACGACTCCTCCAGGTAGCTGTGTTTTTTCTTTAAGGTGTCCTCATGGCACACACATCTGAGCTCCAAAGCATTAATTTGACCGAGTAGCCTGAGAAATGCCAGAGTTGGATTAACATAAATACACAACTGTTGTCCAAGCAGGAAACTGTATTTTGTATGGAAACCTGAACAGCTCACACCTGCCTGGCACACTTGTGTCATCAGCCACTGGATTTGTGAGAACCTCAAAACCCCCCTTACTACTTTCACAACACTCTGAAAAGGTGTGTAAGGGGGAGCTAGGAATGTACTACTGTAATTCCCGTTTCAGATGTGGATTCAAGCACCAGATTAGAGGCCAGATTTTCATCTACCCAAGGTGTCTGGCTGTGCCTTGCAATTGCCTGCCCTCCTCGTATGATCACTTGTTCTGATTGCACGTTAAAGTGCTCTTCCAGTGATGAGAACTGGATATTTTTTTTCCACGTCTCCTGATATCAGTGTGTAGTCATGACATTCCCACAGACTGCTTGTGCAATTGCAAATCTAAACCTGAAAATGTGGTGGCCATTGAGCTGCTTGATGCTATATGGGAAAAATGTAGTAGAATTAGAAAGAATAAACAGATCCTAAGTCTTGTACAGCACCTTCTTATATAGGCTAATATGAACAGAATTCACTCAGATGAAGTTAGTAACACACTTCCCACTTGTTGAACAAAGACAGTCTTTCCTCTGATACCAGTATAAGACCCAGAACTGCTGTGTCAGAAAACCCTTGATAAAATCACAAGCTGATTAATGGTTAGCTATTTAGTTTTGTTTTTCAAGTTTTATTGGAAGGGTCAAGGGATTTTGGCTAATATTTAACCAAGATAAAGATCAGAGGTTCTGAAACAGTGCTTTAAAATATAGGCTATTTATAAAACATTGTCTTAGAAATGAAAAAAGAGCAGGTGATAAAGTCATTCTCTCCCCGGGCCAGGAAATAAAGACATCCAAGTGTGTAACCCCCATATAGCTGAAGGCTCCCCATGCTGGTTACCTGGGGAGCCTAGAACTGGTAAAGGTAACATTAGACACCTTCTGGCACAAAACTAACTGAGGCCAGGCCACTACTACCACAGAGGCAGGGAGATGTTGTAGCCTCCCAGCTTCCTCCAACTGAGTGCTAGTTGTTGGACTTACTGCTGGCTGCATTTCAAGTGCAGAAATGCAGCTCTTTCCTAGCTTCCCAAACAAATCGCTGCCTGGGAAATGGTAACTTGAATGGTGCCCACACCACAGCAGGGGAAACAAAAGGCAGATGCTTTTTGGGCGTCAGAATGATTCTAGCCCACTAAAAGCACTAGTACATAAATTTAGGATGGCCCAACATCCATCCCTCGGAGCAGAGGCTCCAGGGACAGAGCTTTGCTGCAGGCATCCACAAAACCTCAAAAGTGTCTGAAACAGAAAAAGTCCCTTAAAGACCAAATACCCTGTGGCATCCTGGTGTGACTGGTGCAGGGTGAAGACTAGCAATAGTGCTAATGAAGGCCCACAGGAAGGGCAGAAGTGGAGTATTCTTCTAAATTTGTCTCACATACATGATCTGTAGGTGTGTGCCTGTGCATTTCTCTTACTGTAAATTCCTGTCTGTTTACAAGGAAGGGATTGTTCATTGGCAGGCAAGATGCAGGGCACATTCCTATGGCCAAATAAAAATGGACTTATAGGTCCACAACACATTTTTGCTCTATTATTCACCTTAAGGCTTGAAAACCTTCTCATACACCTGCGCAGTGTTTTTGTCAAAAAGAGGAAACATCCAGATTCCTTTTATTTTACTCGGGAGAAGCACAGAGGTCTAACAATTTTGTCTGTTCTAGCAAAACTATTCAGATATGTTGTGCAAAGTGCAATGCTCAGGACAGCTACTCACTTACTGAAATAGAACTTCATTAACTTTTGTAAGAATTAGGTTACACATAATTAAGGTGACAGGTAGAGATTACTTCTTGGTTTACTAATGAAATAATAATAAAAGCATACTTATTTCCTTTTGAGTGATGGCAAATAGATCCACTGTTACAGACTGTACAGAAACATAGAAGACTTAGGGTTGGAAAGGATGTTAAGATCATCTAGTTCCAACCCCCTGCTTTGAAATAAGAAAGTTTTACTGAATAAGCTAAGCCTTTGCAGCATAGCCCGTGTAAGATGAATGAGCTCCAGTAGCAAGTTTTAAATGGGAGGTTATACCCTCTTTTCTGTGAAATATTTTTATCCTAGAACAAAATTTCCTGTAATTTTTCTTTTAAAAATATTTTTTTCCATAACATGGGAAAAAAAGGAGGGGAGACAGATTTACGATGCCAGGTTTGTTAGAAAGGGAGGTTACTAACACACACTTGTGCATGTCTTTTCTATAGCATTCAGAAAGCTGAATCAGAAAATCACAGAATAGTTAGGGTTGGAAAGGACCTTAATATCATCTAGTTCCAATCCCCCTGCCATGAGCAGGGACACCACACACTAAACTATGTCGCCCAAACACTAAACTGTGTCACCCAAACACTAAACTATGTCACCCAAAATGTATCATTGTGTCACTAAATTGTTACATCATTAATCCTCCTCATTTTGATAACCATTTCTAACTGCAACAAACATTCACACCTCACCCTTCTCCCAGCAGCTCTTCTCACATGTGCAACCAAAGAAGTTGGAGCCAAAGTAAATATGTTCCAAGCAGTTTTACCAGGGGTATTACACAGCATTTCAAAAGAGCCTGATGTAAGCAACAAGGAGCATTGACAAAAGCTTGCTTTCTCACACTGTGTTTTGAAAGCTGAAAGAGAACTTCAAAATCTGCTGTCTGATTCGATTTTATTTCAATTCTGCTGCACAGAAAACATGTCTCAGGCAATAGTGGTGGTAGCATCTGTCATCTCTTCTATTCTCTTTAGTGTAGGGCAATACTGAGTCAAACAGCATGTGTGTGTAACCTGGCACAGTTCCAAAGGAGATGAGCCAATGCATGCCAGCACACAATTTGGCTCTGTACATGCAAGTAAGAATGAAATACACACTAAGCCCTAATCCTCTTTGGGATAGGACTCAGATTTGTTCTTTGTTTCTGCACCTTGCTGGAGAATTGTTCCAGCTGCTCATCAAAGGGCCCTAGCCAAGCCTTTGAAAATAGTAACATCCTCCAGTTGATGCCCAGGGCCAAGCTCCTTGAAGGGTCATTGATTTTGTTAAGTGACATGACATACATTGATCTCCTGTCCTTGGAAAGAAGAGGTGGAGGATATTGCTTTTTTTTACTAGAATACAGAGGAGGATATTAAAAGGAAGATATTACTATGTGATGCTGAAATTAATGCCTATTAAAGTTCTTCAGGTGGTATAACTCCAGGTGTAAAGTTTTCTGTTCATCCACAGCACCAATACAACATAAGGAACCTTTCTTTTGCATCAAGCAGTGTAACATGGATAATGGCTTAATTCCCCTGATCATGAGCATGACAATGTCAGCACTAACATACTCTGACAATTTGGGCATGTGTGCGCATGCCTGTATATATGCTATAAAGCCACACATTAGCAAGAAAAATAATCTGGGACCAAAAGCAACACAGCTCTGTTCTAACAAAATAAACAAGCACCTGCTTGAATGAAAAGAACCCTCCCAACACAAGCTGGGAGTTTTGGTCATGTGTGTCCTTAATTAATCTGCTGTACTGAGTTGCATCCTACAAAGGCAGCCCTGATGGATTACACTTTCCATTGCTATCCTCCCCAGTACACATCCTCTTTCTCCAGAGCAGGAGGCACACACATACCTTTCTGCACACATGATTTTAAAAGCTATTGGTGATACGTAACTCACAGGTATGATTAAGGAAGTATTAGAAAGAAAAAACTTTCTAACCATTTCTATTCCCAGTGCTGGAATAGTGCTTTTTGGACAGGTCACTATTATTTTTAGGTGCACACGTTATTCTAAAGAATATCAGCTTTAATTTCTTAAAAGCACAAGCAGCAGCTGGTTAGGTGTTAGGTTCTTAGGAGCAGAATGAAATATTGGGGGATGGTTAGAGACCAAATTCTTTAAAGCTCCAAGTGATGTCTTCACTGCTTCCCTATGAGCTGAAAGTAATACACTCCTCAAACTGGAATGTCCTCTGAAGTGCTGTGGGAAGTGACACAAGCCAGCTGGGCTGCATGCAGCATAGATGGGTGGAGAGGCTATGAGAGCATTTGGATTTGAGGAGAGGTCATCTGCAAGATGTGATCCAAACCTAAGTTTGAATGGGATAAGGCACTGAACAAACTAAGGAGGAGCTGAGAAAATACTGGTATAACAACATGACCTAGCATATTCAGATTTGTGGAAGAGCAACATGTTGGGGTATGCTACAGGCTAATCTATAAATAATTACTTCTGTAAAAACACTCAGGTTCAGATGATCTTTAATTCTTGAATGACCTTCAGAAATTGCTTCTTGCCCAAATTATGAATAGATATTAATTATAGCACCTTATACTATAATTATAGTGTGCTTTTCATTCCAACAGATCCTTAGGCCTTTTATAGCATATGCATAATTCATTTTTGCTCACCTCAGGGCTGAACACAACACTTAGTAAAGAGAAGGGAGTGTATTAGCTATTAACAAAGGTGATCAGACCTCTTTTCTCATTCCTTACCACTTCTCTAGCTTCTTAACCTCTGTTGTAATCACTGCCTAGTGGCACAATGCAGATGGAAAGGGGAATTGCAACGGTGGAATAAGGGAAATAAACAAGCTCTTGTCATCAAAGCCTGTCACAATGTCTCTGACAATAACCACAACATTTACTAAATAAAAATTGAAAAGAATGAGTATTTTAGGAAGTAATAACATGATTGCAAAGTTACTGTGTGATTTTTACACTTAAACTATACTTTAGAAGTGTATTTGGGATGATGCTTTTGAGATAGCCTTCTGCACCTTTGGAATAGCCCCCTGATAACTTAGGGTAACCATTTCAAAGTAATGCCACATTAATGTAACTCCACATTAATGTAATAAAAATAATGTGATTAATATAAGGTTGCACTGAACCTGCTAGAAACAGAGTCAGGAAATATGGAGTATGGTTTTGTAAGTGTGTTTGTACTATTTTAACTATAGTGACAGTAAAGCCTTTATGACAGCACACTGACATTCAGTATGTCAAAAAGACAGCAACAAGATTAAGATTCTGGATTTTGAAATTAAGGTCCAATCTGATGACCTAAATAATGCACAATAGCAGTTATAGTATTACACTATTAACTTTTTCCCATTAGAAATCACTCACAATATTGAACAGTTAATCCTTCCGCCTGAACAGAAGTATTATCTGGGAACTGACAGCAAAGCAAGCATTCAATCGAAGCATTCTTGCCTTTGAGGTGTGAACAACTCTGTCTCTAAATATTCCCAACTTCAATACTCACTATTATGCTTGAAGATTCTAATAGTAGCACCTGAAAGCCTTGCACCAAGAACGAGAGAAGTGTGGTTCAACTCATCACTTAAAATGAGGCAGCCCTGTGGAGAAGGAGTACAATAAGCATCTGCATGAACTGGGAGGCTGTTGACATGCGTGCATGTGTGTGTCAGCATACACGCGTGCCTATGATATAGCATTGCACCAATTAAGCTGTAAGTATTAAACATTAACTGGATTTTCTGCCACTTTTCTGAAGTTGCCAGGATCCACTGCAAAGACAGGCAGAAACTGTGGGATCAGATCCTCAGGCATTCTCAGGTAGTGCAAAGGGGATGAATATTCCCTGTAACTGGAAAGTAGTGAATAATCCTAGAAGAGGTTGATTGTTTTATAGTAAAATCAAATGATGTTGCTTCCTCTGCTATTCTGCTATATCTCTGTAGATAGATTCCTATCTACAGTCTTTTTTTTTGTTGCAATGAAAATGTAGTCACCACCCCACATATAAAGACTGCGTGACAGTAATGTAAGGAGGAGTAATACTGAGGCTGAACTGACATCAGCACTTTGGACTACAGGGATGAGATCAGGACAGACAGATGCCTCATAAATCCCACCTCCATGAAGATGTGAGTGGAGCCTAGGCACCAGGCAGTCTTTCTCTGGTAAACACGTATAGAGGTCACCTGTATTATAGTTTTCATTAATTAACCTACTTGAAAACTCATTTTATTTTTAGGAACTAAAATAGAAACGTGGAAGAAATATATTTGTATATTATACTAACAGGAGCCAGGATTCACAGTTGAAATTCAAGCTGTGATTCTAATTTAGCTCTGCTTTCTATTACACACCTTGTGCTGTGGTTTCATTGCTCGAAGAGCAATACAACATTAAGTAAGTACTTGTTTCGGAAACACGGATTATGCCCAGGTTGAGAGATACATGAATCTGCCTAAAGACTGGTATGCAGAACTAACACTAAGGGTCTACATATCTTGACAAGAAAATGCAGCTTCTGGGCTTAATTATAGATAAAAATTTAGGAATAGATCTCCCCAATATAGGCAATTACATATGCATGAAAAATATGTGTATTATAATACTATAAAATACTAATACATATTAAATTGTTATAGTTATGTTCTTTATAATACATATAGTAAATACCTTTATTTGTGCCACATTTATATCTAAATATACCACCTGTGACAGAAGCCTGAGTCTCCACATGAGGCCTGCTAAGTGAGGCAAAATTGTTGTATAGCTAAGCAAGGGACAAGTATGTTATGCTGTGATGTATGTCTACAGTTTTATAAATATATCTTTATTAATTCTTTGTATTAATTTCACTTTGAAATTACTGGACAGCTTCTCCAGCACCATTGCAGATTGGAATTCATGTACTGAGCAGCTGAAGCAATTCTCCCTACTCAGCCCTTGTCTACATGTACTTCAGAAATCTCTTGCAAAAGCTGGATTCATCTTCAATAGTGAGTGAAGAAGTGACTGCACCTCTATGGCAGTGCTTCAGAAGAAATCTTGATCGTACACCACACAGTGAGTTCATTCTGTCTCAACCAAGAGAGAAAAACTTTCTCACTTGTGTGACACACTTTATACTGTTTCACACTTTTGTGAACTGAAGAGGAGCTTACCCACTTTCCTCGCTAACAGCAGAGTGTATCTTCTTGTTACGTCAAGAGTTGTGATTGACAGGGTAATGGATTTTCATGCCTTTGTGTTAGACACCCCAAACTGTAGACGAAGTTCCTTCAACACCAGTTAAGAACCCAGCTTTCGTTGTATGGTCACAACATAGGAGAGAACCTCTCCTGTGAAGACAGGCTGAGAGAGCTGGGGTTGTTCATCCTGGAGAAGGCTCCAGGGAGACATCATAACAATGTTCCACTACCTTAAAAAGGCCTACAAGAAATCTAGAGAGGGACTTTTTACAAGGGCATGTAGAGACAGGACGGGGGAATGGCTTTAAACTGACAGACGAAGGAATGCTAAATACTGTGCTTTCTCTTTTCTGAAAGTGTTGTAAAGAATATCTTTATCACAATCTTTCACTACAGCTAACTGTGCAAAAACACTGCTTGCAGAGTCATCCCACAACACGCGAGACATGGGATGCAACATTCTAGGGAGAATCAACTTCACTAAGAGAAGCTAAACAACCATATCACTCATCCTTAAATACGTGTTAGATACGTGTGATAGCAACACCCAGAACTAGAAAAAATGATGAAGGACCATACTTAAGTTCACAAGGTTATCAGCCTTATGACTCATGCACTCCTGATATCAAGCCTTGTTCCTCGATCAAGCCTTTCCACTTAATGCATGTCTGGAATACTGCAACAGTTGATATAACAATTAATAAACAATTCTATGTGTTCCTTAAGGAAGTACTCACCTTTCCAACAAGGGCTGGAATATTCATTGAGTTAGTTGCAAAGCCCATCCCAAACACCATAGCATCTTCCACACCAAGGAACTTGGCCACAAGTTTCTCTAGTTCTACATGTTTGTCTAGGGTGCCTGCAGAAATAAGGACAGGAAACCATAAATCTCATTAAGCTGTGCAAGTTATTAATTCTAAGGACATAAAACATACAAAGGAACCAGGTAGAAATGTGCCATTAAGTATGACATTAAGTTCTAATGAAGGTTTTCCATTTGTAACATGTGCATGTGGTATAACACAAGAGAAAACAAAGATGCAAAGCAGCTATAACTAATGCTAACCAATACTGTTGCTATTAAGGTAGCCAGGCAGTTACCTTGGGAAAAAGTTTCCTTTATTCTAAGGAGTAATTTTTTTGCCTTTTTCTCCCCCCTGCAATGAGGGCAAAAATAACTCCTTTTCATAGGAGATGTGGGACAAACATCTCAGGTATTCTTGAGTTCTGTCTGTATGTGAAATCAAAACCTGATGACAACAAAATTCTTTGATGTTTTTGTGCCAATGTATGTGTACAAAATCGTAGAATCACAGAATGGTTTGAGTTGGAAGGGACCAAAGTTTAAAGATTATCTAGTTCCAAACCCCCTGCCAAGACTAGACCAGGTTGCTCAAAGCCCCATCCAACCTGGACTTGAACATCTCCAGCAATGAGCTAGCCACAGCCACTGGGTAACCTGTTCCAGTGCCTCTCAACAGTCAAAAATAAATGAGGAGACAATACTAGAGAGCCTTCCTTATTGCATGTTACTTATCTAATATTAGTGTCTAGAGTCTCCAAACAAATAAGGTGCTTCAACTATCCAACAAAAGCAATATCTTTTCCACCCAGCTCACAATGGAGGATGACAAAACACAGACAGCAATAAATATAAGAGTGCTGTTAAGAGATTGAGGCAATAAATTACTTGAACAGTAATGAATCATCTCAACTTGCCAGCTCTCTAGTCTTTGATTGCCTGGCTGTGCATTGCAGGTACCAAGGCAGAAGGAACTCTTACAGGATGATCTGTGGGGAAGAAAAGAGAGTAGCCTCTGGATTCTGACAGAGCATTTTCCCTATGAAGAAGGCTATAAGCAGGGAATAGAAATAAAAAAATAGGAGAATGAATATCTCACCTCACCCGGCTGCACAAATTGATGTCACAATAATACAGGCAAAATGAATTAAAATTGATGGGAACAAGAAATCTGTGTTCACTGTGATGGATAAGGGGCAGATGAATGGAGAAAAGCAGAAGGTTGGCTAGAATGTCTCAACAAAAATGATGAGTCAGGAAGATTATCTTACCTTTGTCATGGAGGACACAAATCAAATAAAGATGACAGCAGTGCAGTTTCAGCAACAGCATTAGCTCAGGTGGTTACGGTGAGTTAATGTGTTCATTATCTCTTCTCATTAAATATCCAATGCAAGAATGACATTCATTTGGAAAAAGAATGTGAAAAATATCATGCAGGAAGGTAACTCCCTGCAAGCCAGTGAGATAAGGAGCAAGGATCATGTGGCTTCTGGCAAAACCTGGATTACATGGACAATGAAGAACAATGCTGACGTGATTTTCCGCAGAACCTGCTTGGGTTCTGCTAGACCTCAGCTAACTCCAGCAGGGCTTCAAGAGTCTCTGAACTCCTTGTATCACATGGAATAGGTGGTCTCTGGCTTTGTGCTCCATGTTGGTTAACATCCCACAGAAAATGTGGCTCTGCAGAACCTCCAGCAGATGTGAGCTGGCTCTGCATGAAGCTATTTGATGATGGCTAATTTTACATTTGTAGAGCAGGATAAGTGCTAGCTTGGCATGAAGCCACAGCTTAGTAGCCAAAATACAAACCCACACAGTGTTTCAGAGTTGAGCTACTCACTGGAGATGTGAGAATCTATGTCTAACTTGTAAACTCAGGAGGTCTCAGGTTGTATTTCTATGGTTAGATCTGTATTTTTCACATTTTAGACCCAGTTAATCTTCAGCCTGGTTACAGCACTCATTGACAACCAAGGGTTCCAGCATGGTCAGCTGCCATAGCGTTCCCTGCAGATGTTATTTTGCTGCTGAAGGCTATTGGCACAAAGAGAAGATGAACTCTGCAGTGGAAGCTTGAAGCCAACCACACTATGGTCACAGCTCGAATTAGGCATTTGTGAAAGCATGAGAAACAAGCAGTGTGTACTTTGCAAGGCAGGCGTTTTAAAGCATGAGAAAATTCTCCCTGACTCTTCCAGGAGTAAATCTGACACTACTGGGGTGGAGTTAAATTGCTTTTTGGGGTTGCATCATGTTTTCTGTTTTTACAAACAAGAAGAGACTGACTCATTACAGATTATCCTATTCAAGCATCTATTAGATGAACCAGAAAGGAACAGCACATTTTGGATCTGTTTTTATTGATTTTGTGATGGTGAAGAATAAGACATTCTGAAAGTGACTGATTCCTACTTATTATTTACTAATGCTAACAGTGAACACAGGTCTTATTGTATATTGCTATTGCCTATAAATTCTGGAATACAAATTGGAATCTATAGGGGTTTGGATTGCAGAAGCAAAATCTGAATGACAAGGATTTGCAAAATGAGCCCTGGTTCTGGATTACTTTAATTATAATGGCAATATTGTAGGTAGTAGATGAGGTGTTGCAGAAGCAATATAATATGCAGCAGTACTGACAGTGGGAGGTTTGTGACAGTAATATACATTAAATTGAGCTGATAAAGCATATCAGTTTGCATTTTCTCAGATTTATAGTAAAAGAGATATTTAATAAATAATGCAATTACTTAGTATCAGAACATTTCTTCAGTATGGGCCAGTCCTTGGGCACCATATAAACTGCACCAATTATATCAGTTCTTTCCACTGGAGCAAACAAGGGGTCAGATATGCTCTGCTTGAATGAGGCTTCTCCAATAGCATTCCCAGCTGGTGACAGAACTACCCCAAGAAGCATAAACAGCACTACCAGACAGGTACAAATTTGATCCAAAGGAACTTCCACTTGCACGAGCTACCACATCTCAAGCTGCATGAGAAAGGCAGTAATTACACTGGGCTGCATTAAATACAATCTCAGCAGTGTCAAGTCAGGTTATCATGGCCCTTGAATGTTTTGTGTTGTGCTGAATACAGATCAGCATCATGATCCAGATAAAGAAAAATTATACACTAGGTGTATTTTTATTATTACACTGTATACAGATGCTCTCTATTCTTGTCCTATACAATATATAAATCCCTTAGGATTATTCCCCATACTCTGCCTGCTCTAATACTCACGCTGACTACAGCTTGGTTGAACCTGAGAAATGAGGATACAACTCAGTAAGGTATGCCATCTTGCCAGGAAAGATTTAAGATAGAAAGGAAAAGAGAAAGCTACCTGCATTTGGTATACAAATGGAATACTTTATTTTAAAAGTCATTCCAAATGGAATACTTTGTTTTGAAAGCTATTCCTTCCTACTGGACAATTGAAGGCAATAGAGTACAGCAACGGTTACAGTGTTTCAAGATTGTATAGCTGTTACGGAGAGTAAAAGCGAAGATGTTATGAAAGTGGACTTTCACAATGTTAGCCACCTCCACAGATTCCCACAATTTCCAAAACAAATCCCCTCCTTTCCAAAATCTGATGACCCAGTTCCCTCCATTAACTTGTCACTGCACTCTTAGGACAAGGAGCATGAAATACACTGTGCTTTCACAGGCTTTCATGGGTTTACCCACGCTCTTGGGTTGAAAGTCCCTGTCAGTCTGCTAGACAGATACAGCTTGAAAATGCACTCTCCATGATCCACAGAGTTCGTTATTAAGCTTTGACACTTTCAGCTTGGACAAGGTGGTTTACACCACTGGGTAGTCTGCCCAACAGAGTCTTTCAGGTTCTTATGTGTTGATGACACGTGTTGGTTGAACTGCCCACACTGGCAACAGTATCCTGCAATAGAGTTTTTTGTTTGGAATTTTGAGACCCAAAGAAGACAGGAAAATACCTGCTTGCTGCAAGTTAAACAACAGCTGGAGAAGTAAACTGATGTAAGCAACAAGTCATTGAAAGAAAAAGAACAGGTTCCCAGAAAAGCCACTTCCACATATGAACAGGAACTGGGAATCCTATGGATCACTGATGCGACTCACCGAGGTGAAAAAGAACTATTACTCTATGAAAATGGGGGTTTGTCAGAGGTAACCTTAGGAGGGTGGGGAACAGAACAAAACACCTAAACTTCCCTGCCACATCTGAAACTTAAGGCACAAATTCACTCCAGTAAGATATTTGTCAAAGAATAATATTACTGAAATACATACTTTTACAAAAGCAAGATTGGATGAGTTATTACTAGAAGAATGAAGAAACAGAAGACATAGAAAGTGTGTTATTTGTTTACACCATTCTACAAGAGTGGATGATGAAGGTGGTATCACTGATGTACAGAGTCCACTACCAGAACAAAGCTTAAACTTGTACAACACTACATGCAGGCAAGGCAGAGGGAGAGAAGCACCCAGTAATGTTATGCAGTTGCCTCATTTAACACTGGATGTGCATAAGAGAACCCCAAAAGAAGTGGGTTTTGAGGAAACATTTGAAAGAAAGGGAGTGCTCAAGCTTTCTTAATGTTGTTACCAGCTGATAGGGCTTTCAGTCCACAAAGATGCTGTGGGTGTCATATAGTAATGTACTTGAATAATTTTCAGATTCTCAGGAAAGTGTAGATTCATTTTAACAAAACTTCCAGTTTAATTTAAATCTTCCAAATTTTTTTTGTTTTTTCCTTTATAAAAACACAAGGCTAAAATTCACAGTTTAAGTTCAGTCTCTTCCTCCCCTCCCAAAGCCTGGATAGCAGTGTGTTAAGTGTCCAAATATTTGCATGCATATAGATAACATTATATACCAGAGATATTTTAGGTGTTAAACAGGTCACACCTGTAACTCCTAGTTACTCCTGATGCTTTCAGTTCCACCTGCCAGAAGACAGATTGTCCAGACCTTAATCATCCTTTGCAAAGCATACTTTTGCAATGGTGAAATACCAGGAACAAACTTTACCCTTTGATCATAAGTTGGATCAGTT